CCTTAAAATGACAAACATTCCTGAAAGCCATGGCTGGTATCAGTCAGAGGTCACTCTGAGCCAGAGGAGTAAGTGTTGGATTTGCACACCGAATCCAAGCAGCTGCTTCTGATGTGCAGTGGAAACACCGAGCGTTGATCTGATCATCAGAAATGAAGGGTGACGGTCAGTCCATTTCTTCAGTTCTCGGCTGCTGGAACCACCTCCCCTGCTGTTTTCAGCTAAAGGAGATTGTTAATGCAATCTGGCCTCGGTCTTCATTTTCTGAATCATTCTCCTTTGTCAGTCTTTGTTAAACACAAACATCGTCATCCTTGAAAAGTTTTAAACACATTGACGTCACCTCCAGCGTTTCCTGTTTCACAGTAAAGGCATACCACTGCTGTTACACTAAAGTACAAAAGTGCAGTATTTATGTTGACGTGGAACAGGACGTGATGTGTAACACATGACAATGAACAGATGTTTTCAGTGTAGACCACTGAAACCTGATCTACTCAGCAGCGTCGCTGTTGGTGCTTTTGCTGGTTTTTGATGCTTTTATTTAAGAATCGGATTACTTCTTCCTCTCTCCTTCTTCTTTGTGTTTTACTGTAGCTCAGTACTGATCTCCACACATTAACATTTGTAATAAGTAAGATCAAAAAAAAATTGTATTGCAAATAACTTTGTTAGCACAAGGGTGGAAACTTTTCTTAGGTTTGCATAACACAGTTTCATCACAACTGACATTAAAGTTACATTCCACATCACAGGCATAAATAAAAAAAACCTAGCAAGGGGCGTTTCTAGATATGAAGCTCTACTGGGGCACAGGCCCCCCATTGCTCAGTCATGTAGTGTGTTTTTTTTTTTGTTTGTTTTTTTCCCTCCTTGAATGTCTGCTGCATAAATGAAATGAGCTATGCACTGTACTATATGAACTTCCCTTGCACAGCCCACTATTCCACTACCGCACTGCTGCTGCTGCTACTACAACAACTTCTGGTAAAGGTAAAATGTAGAGATCTTAATCTTTATGAAAATATTTATTTCAACATACATTAAGAACATTCTCAACATGATTTATGGTGAAAAAGTCTTTTTCTCTCTCCTCTATCCACTCACCCCAACCGGTTGACGCAGAAGGCCGCCCACCAAGAGCCGGGGTCTGTCAGAGGTTTCCTTTGTTAAAGGGAGTTTTTCCTCCTCGCTGTCGCCAAGTGCTGCTCAAGGGGGATTTGTTGGGTTTTCCTCTATTATAATAATAATAATAATAGTAAGGTCTAGATCTGATTTTATAAAGTGTCCTGAGACGACTTTTGTTCTGATTTGGCGCTATACAAATAAAATTGAATTGAAAAGTCTGGCTCTGTGTTGCATATTGTTTTTTGCATTTTTCTGCATTTCACAATAATATAATTTGATTATCAGCAGCCCCAGTTTGATTTGCCAAATTTAAACTTTCACAAGTTAATCTATCAGCAAATCATTAATTAAAACACACACACAAAATCCAATATTTTTTTGTAACTCATAAGGCCCCATAACATATTTATGCTCCAACTACTTCAAAATTGTATTGTGCAAGCTGGTGGGGATGTAGTTAAGAGTATTTTGAGGGCTGAAAAACCCCACTCTCGTGGACCAACCATATTCATTTCTAGCCTCAGAATACTTTTGATTCTATAAAATCACCATGAGCATTGTGCACAGACAGCTTCCTCCACACTTTCCCTTCCTGCCTAAGGTTTGTTTGTTAAATGTGCAAAAATCAAACATCATTTGGACTGTGTGGCAAGCGCATAAAATATTAGGCTATATTAATTAAATTCCGAATGATCAGTCCAGTCTTAACATAGACCACTACATGTGATGTAGGGTTAGGTATTATGCAACTTACTTGGCATTCATTTTATTTCATGTAGTACACAATAAATAACATTTTAAGAGGTGTACAGCTGATTGCATGCACTGATGTACAAAGCTCTAATTTACTTCACACTCAACATCTGCACCTGGTTACGTTCTAACTAAACTAATGTTGCCTTGTTTGTCAACTACAGCCAGGTCCGACCTCTCTCACCCTCATCTCTGTGAACCTTTGTCTCATGTCCATCTCCAGGAGCCAGCAATGTTTGAGTCAAAATAAGATTGGTAATATTCAAAACCCCAGCTTAGTCCCTGACACATACCTCAGTCCATTACTGTCTTTTGTTTTGCAGGCCAATACATGGATTGCATGACATGCACACAGTGATGTATGAACTGTGAACACTGCACCTCAGCTTCTATTTTGCTTTGACATTCTGAATCAGAACAAATCAAATATTTTCCCATTATTATTAGTCTAAATGAATGCACTGCCCAATATAGGAGTCTCTTAATGCTTAAACATGTGCCCCAGTAAAAGGGGTCTAACAATACCTATACTCTCTTCTGTGTGACCTTTGACCCCAGTGATAGAGGTCACCACTTAGTAATCAACAGAAAATCGTCCTCAGGACCTCTTCTGTGGTTTTACAACGGCACTTAAAAATAGATTGGAGGGAACTTGGTGGTGGGTGGGGTGTCTTTATATCTATATTGTGGTGATAGTAAAGTGGTTTACAAGGTTTTATCTGAGCGCTGATGGCCAGGTGATCACCTGCAGGCCTTACTGACCCTTTGCAGTTCATCTACAGGCCAAGCAGAGGGGTGGATGATGCAACTGCCACTTAATTCAGTAGTCATCGTGATGGAACAAAAAGTTATGGATGAATTTTTCATTAATATCACCCCAGCTTTCAATCAATTTCAGTCCTGAAAAACTGCTATGTATTTTCAGTCTTTGTGGGCTTCCTCACATGCAGACCTTTTCCTCCACACAAACATGAGACGAACTCAGACTGAGTTCAGAACAAATGAAACCAAACAGATGCAGATCTTCATTAAAACAGAAGTATTACCTACAAACAGTAGACTCCAGAAACACCACCGCTACACCTGGCTCTAATGACGTTAAAACCACATCTCTGTGATTTTTACATTTTCAGATCAGTTATTAAATTTCCATGATTATTGTTTTGGCAGAGGAGAGATCAGCCTTTACAGAGCGGAGCAGAAGGATAATGGGCAAAGTGTCAGAGTACACTGCATTATTCAGAAGGAAAACACAAGTCTGTTTTTAGAGTTTGGAGATGGGTGGTTTTCAGTGGCTGTACAAGAGTGTTGTATAGAAGAGAGTCACTGCAGCTGATGACAGATCTGATGCACATCTCTGTCACCTGAGGCTTTAAGTCTGGAATGTGCTTAAGTTCCATTTGAAAACAGCCTCATAAAACTGGAAACAGTGGTTAGTGTGAATGATGGCATCTGGGTGGTCTGTCTCTCCACTTGGGGAGGGAGTGGCCTGGGGGCGTCACCACATGATCTATGAGATCTGATAAAGAGTATTTCCACAGAGTCCTGTTTTTACTGCCTCGTTTTGTTGCTCTTATTAGGAAAAGAAAAACCAGCGTCGGTATCAGAGTTTGGTCAGGTGTCGACTTGTCTGCTGTTCTCTCCATGTTTGGACTTTTGAGTCCTCTGAGAACAGATTCAGATTCATGTCTGACACACTCTCATATGACAAATCTGTGTGAATAAGTATTCTTCATAACACACCTCCATCTCCTGCCCAGCTGTCAGAGGTCCAGGTGTATCGTGGGTAATGTAGGCACCAGGTTTTGACAAAGAAGAAGAATGTGTAGAATGAAAAGATGTTACCTTTGGTTCAAATCTAAACCACGCATTATGAATCTGACAGTGTTAAACCTGAGGAGCACTCCTTTCATGTGTTTGTCAGGGGCAATAAGAATTTCCCAAACAAGAAGCTTGCATGCTTGTAAAGTGTGACTGTCTCTATAACAAAACTCAGACATATCTTTTACTGTAATCACTGTTGGAGTGGCTACTGGGTGTGACCACATTGGGTCCTGGGGGTCCCTGGGGGGCCAGTGTGAACACAGCACTGAAATAATAAAGGATGATGCCATTACAGGGTTTGACGGGTTACATTATTATACCTCATTATGGGCAAAAATAGGTCTCAACAATAATGAATCCACCCAGTGACACAAACTAAACACAGCTTGCAGAGGCTGTTTGGCATGTTGTTGTCATCAAAGACTACAGCCTCTACTGTATCTACTTTATTCTACTGTTTTCTACTGTGTGTGTTAGAGGCCATGCTGACTGTGATATTTTAGGAAGAACAGATGTGAAACATCCTCTGCACTCAGGAAGTCTGCAGGATGTTTCTTCAAGCTGCTTTAAAGTGACATTAAATTTAATTTATTTATATTATGGGACAGGTTCACGTGTTTTTATGTCCTGCTACTGTCCGGCCTGTGTAAATACAGTGAGAAACTCAGCTCAGGAAACAGATATCAGCCATGATCAAAAAAAAGTAATATTATGTAAACTAATGATTTTATCCTAAACTGCAGAAGTTGTTTTAGTTTAGTTTCTCCTCATAATATTACAATTTTTTTTGCAATGTTATATATTTTTTATGTTTGTAAAGTTCAGATTTATTGTAAAAATCTCAGCCTATATTTACACCATTTTTATTTTAACATATTGACTGGTGATGGTGATCCCCCCATCACTGAAATTGGACTGAAATTGGAGGAGCTTGATAGCTAAAGGCTCTGCCTCCCATTCTACTTCTGTGGACTCTAGGAACCACAAGTAGACCTGCACTCTGAGAGCCAAGTGCTCTGTTGGGATGATAAGGCTCTATGAAGTCTTTAAGATATGATGGAGTCTTGTCCTTAAGGGCTTTGTATGTTAGGAGAAGGATTTTAAACTCTATTCTGGATTTCCATGTCAGATCAGCAAACGGCAAAATACAAAGTCAAACTGAGACTTTTATCACTTTGTTTGTGCTTTTTAATTTGTTTTATGGTGCACCAATAAACAGGACTATCTAGACTGGATCAGTCAAGGTGAGGGTGCAGAGCTGCACGTGTCTGGTTTCTCCTCGGGGAGGGGCGGGGATAGTTCGGGGAGGCGGTGATGAAGAGGAGGAGCAGCTGGTGTCGGTTCAGACTGTCGCAACGTTTTCTGCCCTTTGTCTCAGATGAAAAGTTCTGATGGACAAACTGTGACCGCATCAAACCGGATTTAAACCGTTTTTAAATTGGATTAAAGGCGCAGGAACAGAGACAGCCGAACCCGGAGAAGGACGCGGAGCGAAGCAGAGGTGTCCGGACTCCAGGTCTGGTTTCTGGGAGTTTGGATCAGAATCCGGGTCATGCGTCTGTAGAACCGACTTTGTGGAAACTTTTGTCCCCATGGAGATGGGAGTTCTTCCCGCTCTAAGGACTTGATCACACAGTATTGATTACCTGTATTGATTGCATATTGATCAGCAGTATGGCCGCGCTCCTCCTGCTACTGCTGGGGCTTTGGACCTGCGGTCACGCCAAGGGCGCGTTCCCGCTGCGACCCTCCTACAGCTTGTACGCCGGCGGACACGCGCACGGGGCTCGCGCCGCCAGTAGGCACAGGTAAAGTGACACGTGCACGGAAAGGATGATGATGATGATGATGATGGCAGTGGTGAGGGTGGAGATGAAGCAGGAGGAGGTGATGGTGACGTCAGGGTTTGATGACCTCACCACAGAAGAGTTTGTGTGCGCGCACAGCAGATGTTTTATTGTGAAAGAGTCGACAGGAAGCGTTTCTATGGTAACAGAGCTGTTCACAGCTACTAATGCTGTTTCTCTTTATTTCTGTTTGCTTGCTTCACCTGGTCCAGTCTGAAGTTTGATGCCAGGTGTCTGTGAGCATCTTGTTGCTGAACTGATGAGCTGATGTGAATCTTCATGTGTAGTTCGGATTTATTTCAAACATTACTGATGTTTGCAATAGCTTGTGATCAAATACATTTAAGAACATTCCCATCATCCACATGATGAAGAGTTTTACGCTGATACAATCTCTGTTCGCTGTGAAAATACATTCAGGAGAAGTGGTTTACTTCACAGTCACTAAAGCATGCTGTAGTTATCCTCTGTGGAGTTTAAAATAATAGAGGATGCCTTTGTTTTACTGCAGTCCTATTCATTTAATAATAAACATTTAATTTCAATAAAAAACATAGGTCAGTCGTCAGTTTTGCTATTCTGCAAACTAATATTATTAGCAGTGCAGATTGAAGTGTTTTGCTAAGAGCTTGCTTTATGTTCGTAGAGCAGCATTTTTGTCCTGTATCAAAAGGTGAAATAAGTCAAAGATTATACTCACTCTAAGCCAGGTGTCCTTGGAGTTTAGTCTTGAATGTCTTTAATCACTGACGATAACAGTGTTCTTCAGATGATAAAACTGGACAAAGGAGTAAGCCAACGTTAGCCTCACATGTACACACTTGTTTTCAGGCAATACAGCATATATGTAAAAACTGAATCTCTATTTTAGCGTACTCATGCTCACATTGACCAAAGAGCTCACTTTCATTATGAATAAACTATTTATGCTGTAAACACTGCGGTCTTTGAGTCATATCCAAGCCTCATATCCTCACTTGCGCTCCAACCGGAGCATATTTTTTGGGATTGGCAATGTCCTGGAAATTCACTTGCCAGTTGGAAATGTGACCATCATCACAGAGCTGCTACAGATTGAAGATGCAAGTCCACACAGGCAGCTGTTGTAAAAATGTTATACTAAGGTAAGATGGTAAATGGTCTTATACTTGTATAGAGCTTTTCTACACTTTACAGCTCATTCAAAGCACTTTTACACTATTTGGTCATTCACCCATTTGCACTCCCAAATGCTCACACATTTACACACCGGTGTCATCACTGGGAGGTTCAGTGTCTTGCTCAAGGACACTTCAACACACGAACTGAACAAGCCGGGAATCAAATCGCTAATCCTCCAGTTAGGAGACGACCCGCTCTACTTCCTGAGCCACAGCCACCGCCAAAGGGTGTGTAAATTTTTCAGACAGTGTGGTTGTTGTGTTATATTGTCCTGGTTTTCTGGGGACTGCAATGATGGTGGAGCATTTGAAGCAGGAGGGGACATCACACAGCTCCAGTGATCTGGTGAAGATTTGTGTGAAAATAGGAGCCAGCTGATCAGCACAGGCTTTCAGGCAGGGAGGGGTGGTAGAAGTATAGACGTTTTCTGTATGCTTAGATCGTAATGCATTAAAATACA